TGTCTCACCCATGAGTGAGACATTGCATGAGTCTTGCATTCATCCTAGCCAGCCTTTCTTAAATGCTCCTAAAATGAACTACTACACCTGTGTCAAACATGACCTGCAAGTTAATAACATAGCAGGTAAAATGTGTACCTAATATGGTATATGAGGTATTCCTAGTAAGTGAATGAAAAGAAGCAGTTGTTCCACATTTTAAGAGCAGTAATCAGAAAAGACTGGTGATTGATTTTTCTCTAAAGGCAAGATTAAATAGCACAATACAGCATTGTGAAACTTTCCTCTCTGATTTAGAGAGAATTTGATCAACGTGACAAGCCAGCTCAGAATTTCCCATGGAGGTTCCATGTCATAGAGCTGAGAAGTTGTATTTTAAATACACAGAAGTGCTTTAATATGATTTTTGTGTTGTTTCTCTGTAGTATTTTGGATTTCCATGGGGAGAGTGTAAGTTATATTTGTAGCAATCCAAACTACATTTGATGTTTCCATTTTCCAAGTTCAATGAAATTGCACTGTTTCATCACTCCCTTAAAGTCTGAAACAGTAGACTAGGATCAATGTAGAGTTCATGGGGGAGGCATCTGCATGCATATATATTCGTATTTATGTTTGTGTGTATGTATTTCATTTACTAGAAACTGTTTTTCAGGCATTTTAGATCTCATATATGATTCCTTTATGGGAGTGACCTTGTCTCGATGCTGATGCCACCTGAAATAAAGGCACTGGATTACAGTCACTGGGGCTGGAACTCACCACCAGGTAGCCAAGGAGCCACCAGCAGTTTTTAACTTCATTTGGGCTTGTGTCTTGTACAGTTGGAAACCTGTTAACCAGCTTTCAAGACTACCAAGTTAAACTTTCAAACCAGGGCATTGCAGTACAAGTCCTTAACTCTGCCCTGGTGCATATTTATATTCACAGAAAGAACTGGCTTCCAAATAAGAGAATAGGCATATTCCCTACAGTTTGAGTAGAAAGCCTAGCTAGTCTACATAGACTTCATACGTAGTCTGTGGATCTGTCTACTGTCTACCAAATGAATACATGCAAGTCCCAACATACTCAAAAAAACTATATATAAAATAATACTTCGACAACATTCTCCAGCGTAAATAGAATTTTAAACTAACAGCTAAAACACCCACAGACATGAGTATGTCTATTGGCCTGTCACGACAGCTTGTGAAAGGGTTACAATTGATCTGTCCTTAGTTTTAGATAAAAAGTAGGTGTTTGAATCTGCTCAAAAGGGGGAGCTTTGGAATGACTTTCGTAAGAGCAAATGGCGTGACAGTGTGTGCTTGAAATAGTTGGAAGCAGCGTGTAAAGGTAGCATTCACACTGCTTCACCTTGCATTGTCCGCCTTGTTAGATGCATTCTGTCTTTTTTTCTGCATTTGCCTAAATAGTGAGCGTGTGCCACGAGACTGAGGACTCATGAAATATGCATTCTGAATTTGGGGCTGGATCCTATTGCTTAGGAAGTCACTGGCCATTCTTATCACTGGATAAATGACAATTGCCAGCAGTGTCAGCCAGGGTGACTAAAAACATGGGAATAACGGAAGTCATGTTGGGAGTATCCTGGTTGCTTTCAGAGGAAGGCCAAAAAAAACAAGCCAACAAAACAAGTACAGACAACTGAAAATAGTGGAATTATTTCATGAGGCTTAGGTAGCCCCTGGTGGCTGATACAAGTTAGTTATTCTGTGAGATGTTTTTTATTAGATGACTACAGATTCATTGAGTTTTCCCTGGCAAAACATGCAGCAGAATTTCAAATGCTAAAACCAGAATTTTTTAATGAAGTTTGGTGGTTGGTACATTATTTATGAAGATTGAGAGGTGCCAGGCTGGCCCTGGGATGTGTCTGCCGTTTGTTCTTCTGCCGTAGACAGTGTCAGAGCTCAGGCCTCGGGAACTTAATTTAGCTGATAATAGCACCACTTTCATTTATAATTTAATCTGAAGGTTCCTGCCTAGGGTCGAAGTAATAGACGGCTGTGGATATAATAGCTTCAGACATAGGGTCTGACTGCATCTCCTCAGCCTGTAGAGCCTTCCCTTACCTCTGTTCTTGACCGTTCTTTGTGGCCCCTTCACTCTACCATCACAAGAGTTCATATCACTGCTCAGAGTACTAGATTTGGGGGCACATCCTAAAAAATGCAAAAAGTGCTTGTATGGGTGGGATTTTTAAGCAGAACCATTTCACTCCATAATGACATTTGAAGGAAGATGTGTGTGTAATACATTACAGAGGTGGGACTTGGGGTGAGAGGTACTTTTGCTGATACTTGTTAAAACTGTGCAAGCACTAGGGCTACAGTTCTAGGCATTGAGGAGAAAATGATCAATTAATATTTTTATTTTCTTTACTATTAAAGTTACATTCAGCTATAAAACTTGGTCCTCATTTATAGTAACCACCGTACTCAGGTATGCAAAGGCCAGTGGAGAACTGTCATTGCCCGTCACCAGCTCTGGCAGTTTAAGCCTTCAGCCACGGCCCTGAAGCTGTGAGGCAGTAACATTGCACAGTTGTTGGGAAGGTTGGAGGTCTGACCTGATCCAGTGTGACTGGGACTTTGGGCAGTTACGTCTACCTACATACAGTGAGTTTCTAGTGGGTTTTTTTGCTTGAGAAAAAGGGAAGTTGCTTCCCTTGTAAGGAAATCACCTTGCATTTAATATTCTTTCTGCCTTGCCGGATACTTGCATTACGGTTTTCTGCTGCCGTCACAAGAAGATTTCTTGCCAGACATGCTAGAGAGGCATGCGTGTCCATTTCTTCTTTATAGTGATAAGTTTGGGGCATTTTGCAGTGTTATAAAAGGCACTAAAGGTGGGCCAGTTTGCCCAAGTGACTACTACTTTTAGTGGTATTTGACAGGTATTTTCAAGATTGGTAGCCTATTAACAAATCTGCTTGTGACTCTTAATGTAAAAGTTTCATTGAGGCATTCATTGCAGTGAATACAAACATACTGAGGGAAAACAAACAATATACCCTCTGGTGTTAGACATGCAACGTAAATTGGAATATCTCTTGAAGAAATAGGAATTAATCTCTTTCTCTCTAATCTGCCAAAACCTGTGATCTTCATGTGTCTTGGGGGTAAGGAAAGCTGAAGTGTCAGGAAAGGTAACAACATTTTCTGTCTTGAAAATTTTCTTGTTGTTAAGCTTTCTGGTCTTTTAGCCTTTGTTCCTACAAAGGTCTGCAGTTGGCATTTCAGTTTGTTTTGCCATTACCATAATGTTGTGAGGATTACTTACTTCCCAGCATTTGTCCACAATTTCTTGCAACTCAATCCCAGGGTGCTTGGCTTTTGGGGCTTGGGCTTTTCCTCATTAATCAATTTTCAGTCATGGAGCCACTAATTTTTATCCTTTGTCAGGGAATGGCTTCACATCTCTCTATTTCTATCCGACAGATCTTCAAATAACCTTTGTTTTACTGTCTAAGGACATTTTTAAATCTGTTGCTTCTCTTAAGCTGAAGAGATCCTTAAATCTTTGAGCTCCATAGCTTAGTATTCATCTCTTGTGTAAATGTTAAATTAGTTTAGGCTCTATATTTGTCCATGAATCTAAGTCTTCTTAAAGCTTCAACTTCGCCCATGGTTCTTCCTGCTTTGCAAAGCTGTGCATGGAGCCTCTGATGCTTGTTTTGTCACCTCCCCACCCTCTTCCCTGTATCCCTGCCAGTGCCCAGACCAGCTGTTCACCACTTCTGCTCATTCTTTAATCTACTGCACAGAAAGGTCACCTTTCCCTTTCTTCTCACCTTCCTCAGCTTCGTGTTTTCACTGCTCGGCAGCTTCAGGTAGGATGCACAAGCACAACAGCACAAGCATAGTTTGGGGCGGGGGCTGGATTTCCAGAATTCATCATAAACACTGAGTTAAAAATGAATGTCTTAGCGGAATGCTAGGGAACACTTCGCTGTTTTGGCACTGTATTATTGTAAAGAGTATGAAAGTACATAAAAATACACATTTCTGTCTTCACTGCTCTAGCATCAGTCTGTGTGTATTTTGATGTTCCCTTCAGCTATGGACCCTTCCTTTGTTCATATTCAGTTCTATGCCTTAAGGCATATATTTAATAGTTTTTACCAATTAAAATCACCTGCAATATATACATAGGCTAAGATTTTTACAAAATCTGGCACCCAACCTGAGTACCTTCAGAAGAACCAAGTATGTTGCCCCGTTTTTAAGTTTTGCAGTCAAGTCCTTGGCTTAGATGGAGTAGTGCTTTCGCATGGTCTTCTGTGCAGCTCTTGGGCAGGTTACCTGCTGATTTGAATCTGAATGTGTGCATTCAGTTTACTGTTGATAAAACTTACCGGTTGTAATCTTTTTTGTTCCTAAAGTTTAACTGTAGTTGACAGATGTTGACACTGGTTGAGTATTCAGCTATTCAGCATAGTACAGCATATATGGGGAATCTTTGAAATGCTTCCAATGGAGTTCAGGCTTCAGGGGATCTTCTGGGAGGGATTTGCCTGGTGGTGGTGAAGGTTGCAAAACTGGGAGCTTGGATGATGGGGGCTTCCTGAGTTAGGGGAGAGGGGAAGTAGAGTCTGATGGAGAGAATGGAAGCAAAGCCCAAAGGAAATTGATGTTGGGTGTCCATTAACTGGCATGCTAAGGTGACTCTTACTGTCTTGTTGGGGCAATAGTATAGCAGTTAGACAAGGAAATGCAACAGCCAAACTTCCCCTTGTGGTCAGGGAGGAAATCTGAACACCCTCCCCAGGGACCGTATCTACTACCTACAACTACCATTCAATGATGTGTCCTGCCGAATGGGTTGAGTGAGTGGATTTTCCTTGTAGTAGTCAGACCAGCCTTCAGAAGACAGCTGCAGGCACCGGCTGGTCAAGTGGTTTTGGTGTGGGATACATCTCCATTGCAAGGAACTAAAACATGTGTCGTTCTACACTAAACTGATTTTTTTTTTTCATTATTTCTTTCCTGTAGCCTCGTCACATATTCAACATGCTGAAGAAGTACGTGCGTGCTGAGCAGAAGGACAGACAGCATACTCTCAAACACTTTGAACATGTCCGCATGGTAGACCCAAAGAAAGCTGCCCAAATCAGATCTCAGGTAATGTCCACTGAGGGTTAATGGGGTCGTATTTGTTCATAATAATTGTGAAGTTTTTGTCAATCTATTTTTTAAAAAATACCTGACTCCTTTCTGTGGACAGCTTTACATGCAATAAAAAATAATCTGCTTTCCGGCAGAAGATGTAGGAGTAAGGCAAAGTAATGTAGGAGTACGGTGGGTATAATCTGTCTTCTGAGAAGAACTGAAAAGCAGGTTTTCTCTCTATCTAGACAATGAGTCAGTCGTGGGCATTTCCTGAGGAGCCCTGCAGAGCATTAATGCCCAGAGCCTTTATTAGTGCTTTGGTAAATAATACCTCTGGGAAAATGTCGGTAGTAGATTTAGCGACCACACATGGTTATGCTTCCCTCAGCTGAAGTGGCAGAACCAGAAGTGGTGTAGCCATCTGACTGCGACCAACCTTTCTATAGTCATTGCAGAGGTACTTGTAGTGTCTATAAATGTGAGTACTGTGATGCACTTGAGTTTAACATGTTCTTTTAAAATAGGCACTGTAGTTCATGGCATTTTAACTGCTGAATGTTACCGCAGTCCTCAACGTGTATGTTTTGGAACGGCTTTTATGTTGCCTTTGTAAATTGTGGAGGGTGAGAAAGCTAAAAAAAAAAAAGAGACTGAACATGTAGCTGGCTTTCAAAACAGCAATTAAAATTGTAGGCACAAAGGATAACCTGTAAAAAAAGTGTGCCGTAATCTGCAGAATCAGCTGCTGTTCCCTCTGCAGGATGCAACGGGAAGTGCTGTTCCAGCCACAGTTTTTGAACTGACTGGCATCGCTAAAAGCCAGATCAAAACCATATATACCTCCCTGAATGGCACAATTTGCATATTGGACTTCTCAAATGTCTCTTCCAGCCAGACTTGTACATTGAGGTCATGCTGTCTTGAAATTGCTTCTTACAGTCTTCTGCAGTGACAGTTGTCTTTCCCTTGTCTTAAACATGTCCTTTTGTGTCTAACATGAGTTTTTCGTTTCTAAAACAATGGATTATTTAATAACAAAAACCAGTGAAATTTTGCAGACTACAGATTTTGTGGCAGCACAGGTGAAGAATGGAAACTGACATTTAGGTACACAAGAAGTGCAGTGTATTGCTTAGTGTATTGTCATAGGAATGAGTATTTCTACAGTATATTTGCTTCTTGAATTGGTCAGAAGGTTGGGGGAATGTAGGCTGGAGGATCTGATGGGGAATTTCTTTCAGTGGAGAATGGAAAACAAAATATTTTGTTCAAAAGCATAAATACTATGTTTCAATTTGAAGGAATGATATTGTTTTTTTCATTGAAATTGCTCTCTGCAGCCATTTTCCTCTTTAGGCCTAATTGCCCTGTCAGACTTCTAAGATGCACCTCAATTTCCCTTTCTACTGAAGAGGGGTGATACTTGTGGATAGTACCCTGGGGGAGCATATATCATGGGATGTCGTGACTCAACCCATAGCAGTGTGTGGGAACCTGAGGCAATAGAGTTGTAATCACACGAGACAATGCAGTAGTGCTTCTGGTGGAAATATTTTTGTTTTCAGCTGAAAATGTTTGCAAATGTTTTTAGCAAGAAAATTGGAGTTTTTTTCAGCGAGAACGGTTTCTTTTTGCAATATTAGGATAAAGAAAAAAAAAAAAACCAAACAGCTGACATTTTGATGCAGCAATCATTGCGCCTCACTTGGTTTGTGTGTTATGTGGAAACTTATGGGTATGGGCAAATGTAAATGTTATTGAAGGGTAAATGAGGCTGTGGATTTCTGCCACAATAGCTGCTTGTGTACATGCTCTACCCCACAGCACATGTAAACCCCTACTTTAAATTACTGCGTTCCCATGGGATTTCAGGTTACTTGCTGTGGAAGAGCATCTAGAACACTAGTTTTGTAGCAGCTGTAGGAGAGAGGTGAATTTTGCAGTGGATTTGACAATTTCAGTACGTAGAGCATACTGAAATCTTATACGTAGCACAAGTTAAAACTGTCTTGCTCTCTATAAGCTATATAATTTGTAATAATGTCAAATTCCCCTCCTTAGAATACTTTTATTTCCACAGGTTATGACACATCTACGTGTGATATATGAACGCATGAACCAGTCTCTCTCCTTCCTCTACAACGTGCCTGCTGTGGCAGAGGAGATCCAGGATGAAGTCGGTATGCAAACTATTAATGTAGAAAAAGGGAAATATTTCTGTGATGAGAAATTACCAGCAAAAGCTAAAACACAGCATCTTACTTCTCCTATTGATACACTGTCCCAGCGGAAAAATAGGAGAGTAAACTTGCCAATGTTCTTAAATTATAAATTAAATTATAATGAATATTTGGAAGACAAATCCTGTATAACCCGTGCAGTGGCATCATCGTATTGTTGTAAATGTTTTCCCGGAAATATATTAATTTACATTGGGAGCCTCCATGCTATATGGAAGCAGCTATTGAAAATGAGATTTAGCAAGTCCTTCCTGGGTTTGGATATTTAATTTATGTGGTAAGTATTTACATTATCTGCAGTAGACGTTTTGGAAATCCCCCAGCTAAAAAATTAGTTGCAGATGCAAGCATCCGAGAAAAGTGTAAGTATCAACTGGAAGTTGCTAAATGCAACTTGGCAGTATGTTACTGGTCATACATTTAGTTCCTGGTTAGTTGGTCAAATGGATATCTCCTCTCCTCCCATTTTTTCCAGCACACAGGCTGGGCTGTGGACCAGTCAGTCCCATGTTTGCATCTTGCTTGAGTGCTGTCACAGCAGATAGCTGTGAGGGAGAATGGTATTTCCTCCCGTTCAGGTTCCTGCTCTTGGCTGTGGCATTGCTGCAACAGAGAGATCTCTTGTCACAGCACTTGGACTCTGCTGTGTGCTGCTGTTGCAGCAAGGCAGTTTCACTTAGCCTATATTAATTTCAGATATAGCCACAGTTCTGGACATCGTGTTGCTAATGTGCTTCTTTAAGAAAAATAATACATGGTTGAATGCAAAGGCTGGAGATGGGACGGTCATTGTCTTTGGAACTGCTTTTTTTCGCAAGATGTAATACTCTGCCAAATGGCACTTAATGGACTAGTTTCACAAATAACCAGCTTCAGCTGACTAAATAAATTATTGATTTCTTTAAAAGGGACGGAGGCGTGCCATTGCGGTAAGGATTAGGGTGCATTTAGGACACAGGGAGGGGACGGAGAGGGAGTAGCGGTGGATTCATTTGCCCAAAGTACAGGTTAAGAAGGAGATGCGCTTCTACTTGTGAGGTAGCTTGAGAGGGCTGGGGATGAGATCAGGAAGTCGGGGAAGGGGTTGGGAAGAAACAAAAAGCTGATAGATGTGTTTCTATGCTCCACAATTATAAGGCCCAATCAACAGTCTAGTCTCAGTCTGTAGTTGTAGAGAGCCGTTTGGGGGCAGGGAACACCGTATTGATCATTTGAAAGCATATCTTTTCTGTAGCAAAGGATACTGTTAGGTCTTCTAGATGCCCAGTTTGTTTTCTTTCTGCGCCGCTGTCATTCCCTTGGGTTTTTTGCTTGAAGTTTCAATTTCTTCTATTCTTGGTAATGTTAATGCTTGTTGGTGAGGACATTCTTCTAAATTTTCTTCTTCCTCCTAAATACTGAAATGGAATAGGAATTTCAGAGGCTTTGAAATGATATGGGAGCAAAAGTCTATTAACTGCTAAGTGGTTTACAAAAATCTGACTCCTAATCTCAAATGTAATACTAATTTTTAGGGGGAAAAAAGAGCCTAAAATTAGTAGGTTATTATTTCCTAATAAGATGAGAGAAGCTAAGATATCTCAAAGAAAAAGTCTATCACAGTCTCTTGAGTACTTTTTCCCCACCTTGATTTTTTGGTGGTTTTGGCTATGCTGAAAATTCTTCAAAGCATTGCAAAGTTTAAAGCAATGAAAAATACGTTCTCATACCGGGAGTTACTAGACAGCAAAAATTAAAGAAGGCACTATCAGATCTGGACTGTACTAGATAAAATAGTTTTCAGTAATGGGGAGAAAGCCTATTCTCTTTCAGTATCAACATTCTGCTTGTTGATAACATTGGCTGTATACTTGGTTTCACATACTGGTTTTAATGAAAGTTTGTTGAGGTCATTCCCATCTGCTAAATAAGACAGCATCCTTCTAGCTTTGAGCACTGATCCGTCTGTTTCAAATTCTGTTCTGAAATTATTGAGTTTCTTAGTCTCTGTACTCTTCCTAAACCCATGGAAAAGGAAATCTATTACAGCTGCAGAATCTGTGGAGAAGTAAAATACTAACAAAATTGCACTTTGTAACATTCCCAAAAAATGTTAAAAAGACAAATGTTTCATTAAATATCTTTTGTTAGAACCATTGACTTAGAAAGTCTGAGTCAGTGGAAAAGTTGAAAAATAACCTAGGTAAGAACACCTCACACACACAGTGTCTGAATAATAAATTACATATAAGGAAGCATAGTTGAAAATAGTTCTTCTCTTTGGCTGGGATGCAAGTTAGTTGGCTAATGCTTTAGTTCAGTTTTTTTGTTCATTATACTTTTGGTTTGTAGTTCCACGCTTTACTGCAGAGTTCTTCACAAACAGTTTTCACCTTGAGGAATGAATAGTCTTTGCTTTAGAAGACAGCTCCGACAGAGGTAGTTTTTTCCCTAAATTGAACAAGTAGTTCAGTGAGCAGCAAAATAAATGAGATCTAGTTTCCTGTGAATTTGTACAGTGGGTTTAATTCCTCTTAATATCTAAGAAGGTGCTGTTTTTTACTAGATTTACTCTTTGATAGCCGTATTATGCCCTATTTTGCACGGTTTCTTCATTATTAGCTGTTGACAAATTTGAATCTCAGGTCTTGGGATTTAATTATTTTTTTAGAAACTAAATGAGAACTACATTAAAATTTTCCTTATGTCTTTCTGACAGTCCACTACCAAAGGTTCATCTGTGAGAAGTAGGTGGTGTTCTGTCATTGGAAAGTGTATGTGCCTGAAGATAAGGGACACACTTGCAATTTCTGTCTCTTATTTTTGAAGTCTTTATGCCGAGCAATGAATTTTAATTACATGAAATAAAATCTAGAGTTACTCCTGGAGCATAGCAGCTGCATAGAGAATGTTTTCTTCAACAATCTGAAGATTTTTTAATTAACGCTTGGTGATCAGATGAATCACAATCCAGCAGCTGGACATTTGCAGTTTCTTTAAAATACAGGATATGTTTGAAGTTCCTACTTCAAGAGGCAGGTTTACAGCCATAGTTTTAAGGTGCGGAATCCAAAATAATGAAATGCAGCTTTTACACTAAAAGCTGCCTTTTAAAACTTCTGGTTGTTTTCAGAACTCCAGCAGAATTGGTGGTAGGAAGTTAGGGTAAATTTTAAGAGTTGTAGTCCTTATCTGCATGTTTTCATCACCAGTTGATGTCTGTTGACTTAAACAAAACATGTCTTGATTTGAGTATATAGATACGTAGGAAGACCCACAGCACTCTGAAGGGTAGAAAGCAGCACTTCAATGAAATGAGGATTTTTCTGCTAAGCGTTTGACCAATGTGTAATGTGCAAACGCCCCATTAGGGTAACAGGCACATATTGTAGCAGCAAATTCCAGATGTGTAAGGAAGAATACTGCTGGCTGTCTTTGTTCATGTTGGGGCAGGGGAAAAAGGATCAGTGTAAGAGTTGCAGAAAGAGGTCTGTCTGACCATGACTGTTACGACAAAGCTTGGAAAGCATAAGCAGGTCATTTGTGTAGGAGACCATTTGGCATTCTAGCTGCAAATGATTTCTCAAGGGGCAGTCATGCAAATGTGCTACAAACCAGGTCACTCTTGACAACTGATGTAATTCTTGGTGTTAAGTGGTGTTTCTCACAGGCAGGAGTATGCCCCGTGAATAGGAGAGTGGCACAAAAAATCTGAGAAGAGATATTTATTTGCACACTGTAGGTGAGCAGATTATTTGCTTACCTTGGTATTTGTAGTCACCTTTTCTCTCTGATAAATCTCACATACTATTTAATATGTACAAAAGCTTTGGGAGAGCAATAGCAGGCTTTAAGAGAAATCAGCAGTTCCTTTGAGGACATCCTGCTTTAAATCCTTATTTGATTAGACTGCTTATCCATGTATGTAAAAGGCAATTTATTGCTGGGAGTGGCACAGCAGGCACAGCTTCTGAATCAGAAGCTACGTCAGAGCTTTGTGCATCAGTCAAATGGGCAGGCAGTGAGCTGAATTTTTAATTCTGTCTTTGCTGCTCAGTTTCCAAACTGATGTCCTCAACTTCATGTTTTCTAGCCCACCACTGATGAAATATTTAGCACCACCTACCGCAGCAGTATCGTAACTAAGCTCTGAAACATTCAGTTATGAGCAATAACTAAGAGAATATGATTTCATCTGTCCCTTGACAAATAAAATCAAGCTATTGTTATTTTATTATTCTGTTCCACTATGCCCATACTGTTCTTTCGCAGCATGTGCTGGATGCCACTCTCGCACTGTATAGCTGGGAGAGAGGACAAACACAAGCAGACCCCAGATCACTGCTTGCATTCAAATGCATACAGTGTGCTGTGGGTCATGTGCTATTTCCAGTATTTGTGTGCTCCAACTTAGCATGAAAACATTTGAGCAAGAGAGTTTTGCCTCTTGATATTTGGTTCACAACTCCCTGTGAAGATTTTTTAAAGTATTTCTAGAAAAAGCTGTAAAGAGAGGACGAGCTACAGACTAAAGGTGTCTGAAGACTTGCTTTCTTTTAACCCTTTCTCTTTAACCATTAGGTCCCTATGCCTGTCAGTCTGCATCTGTGGAGGGCAAAGTTAGAGCTACCTCAGCTGGTTCTGGTCTTTCAGCATTTATAAGACTTAATTGTTGATTTCTTGTTTCTAGCTGCTAATTTTGACCTGTAGTGAATCCACAGCCTTGAGTTGAATTAGGATGCTGTTCTCCATTCATTCTGTGGTATCCTTCTTAAGAAGTTTTGAGGGCATTAACTGCTTGCCACAGACTGACAGTCCAAAACGACAACCATTGTGGTTTGGGGATTTACATTGCAAAACCAAAACACACCCTTGGGGGCTTTGCAAAAGCAAATTCTGTGTCTGTCCTGTTTGGTGCCATTTTGTGATTGTGCCAATCTTTTGTGATTGTTTTCTTCATC